AGCAAAATTTCATCTGCTGTATGCTAAATTGGGGGCTTTGGCATCTGCCAATAAGGGAATCTTAAAAAAATAAAAAAAAAAGAATGACTAGCCCCAGAAGATTAAATGATAGATGAAAATAACAATCATTCTTTAAAAATGTAGTCAGAGTCAGTTTAGAGCGATTTGATGAGAATATGTTATCAAATTTTTGTGAAAATAGATTTTGCGAAATTAAAAATAGGCAACGTCGATTTATCATACAATTGGTGATCTTGAATAATGAAATATATGAGCCAGACTATAAAAACGTACATAGATCTTTCAGTTTCAGTTTAGATCGTTTCAGTTTCTATTTCTGTTATTTTCTGTCCCGCAATTAGACAGAAGTGATGCGAGTAACCAGTTTTTCGCTTAAATGGTGTTGATCATTTAATAGTTCAGCAGTTAAAATCAGGGTTCTTATTAACGCACATAAAACCGCCCTCAAATTTTGTATCCCGAATATGTATACAATGTGTAGAGTGTCTATAATGATATAAACTTGGCCAATTTTCGTTAACGTTAACTTTACGCTTGCTCGATTATGAAAAACACTGCACTTAAGTGTGCAGCTATATATATATATTATATAAACGTGCTAATTAAAATAATAATAATCATAAAGGGCAGGTTTACCTGCCTCCTTAACGAGTCGAATTTCAAATGCCCTTGCCGGGCACAAAATATAGACAATAGTTGAATTTAAAGAAAATTAAGCTTCTGCTGAGATTAAAAGATAAATGACAAAAGAGTCAAGTGTAACCCTTATCTATTATTCGGGGTCACGGAGTCAAGTGTAAACCTTATCTATGATTCAAAATAACATGTGTATAAAAAAAATGTATTTTTAATAATTTGTTGAACAGACATCAAGGCTAATTCGACTTAAATCGGGCATTTCTAGATTATCTATAGCAAAACTTTCAGTTTCATCTACACATGACAAAAAGAATTAGAAATTGTAGTAGTTCTATATAGTACTTAGACTGATAAGCCTTGACCATATAGCAAATGCGTGACAATTTTCTACACGATGCTTTACAAGCAACAATATATCCGTATTTGCGGGCGTATGTAATATAGTTTATACTAAGCTAGAGTTCAATGGGTTCAGTGAATATGGGCATAACTCTAAATTGTAGTCAATAATAATATGTTTGCGAGAAGATATCGTAAAACTTAACGACCTAATGAGTGAGACAGAAATTGAACAGAAAACTAACAGGAGCATTGCTATCGGGTATTCCCGACTATTTAATTCTCGTCTATAGTACAAAACCAGCTAAATTAGTTTTTAATGTTTTTAATTGGCTACACTAACCAGAGGCCTATGCATATATTATATTTGGACACCCTACTTACTCCCTAGCAACAAATCCAAATTATCCACTTCACACTGTGTTAACGAGCATTACATGTTGCCTGGTCGAAAATTTCATATTCCCACTTGAATTCGCAACAAAATAAAATCGCATTATTAGAAAATCCACTTGGTACGCGAATTGGTTTTATGAGTTGAATGCAAATTCATAATGCCAGCCATATCAATCGAGCAGCTCGGCCGGCATTTGATCACTAATTAATCCATATGACGTGAGGTATTGAAGCTCGGGCAATTGATATGCAGCCTGCAAATGCCAGTTTAAAAAGAAAGGCGAGTCACAACTGTGTGTAGAAACAACAAAAACAAACAACAACAACAAATATGTAAACAGTTGACGAGAGATCAAGACTCATGAATGGAATAAAACAGAGTGCTGAACGGCTTTTCGCCCTGACTCAGAATTAGTTATATGACGAATGAAACGAAGATCGTGCGAGAAAGCCCTCAAGTAAACATATATTACAGACATATTAACATATATTACATAAGTGAATCGTAACTAACTTTCAACCGATTCAATTGAATGAATACTATGAAAATTTTGGCAAAAAATACATTCAAATTATTTTTATTAATTTAACAAATTTATAATATTTGATTATTTTATACAAAATAAAAATATCCAACAATTCCAACAATATTCAAATTTAAAACCAATTCCTATGGCTTTTTGGTTTCTAGCATGCGATATTTTTCATTCATGGCTTAGTTAAGATACTACTTACAAATTAGTATTCACTGTAATATGAAACTATAATAATTTGAATTATATATCAAGCCTGTAAATATATAGATTTTAAAACGTGACTTTCGTTGGCCCATAACCAGGTGGCGACGACAAATCACGCCGCACCGGAAACCAAGAAACCTTTGACGTAAATCAGATTCCAATAGTTCTCGGCATGCGAGACACGATCGAAGCAATCCCGGATTACCGAATAAGCAATGCTCTGTTTAATACCCAAAAAATACTCAAGCGCGTTGATATATACAAACACACACACACACACACAGAGACACATACATATGTACATACACGTACATATTTGTATGTATGCATATAAAGCAGTTATTTGTATTCTAGGCTCAAGACTTCAAAGTTCAATTAAGAACTCTGAATGGGATCGACTTTATCACATAAACTTGACCAACATTATACAATTGAAAATATAGGAAAAAAGGCAAATACCCTTCCTCTGCTATCTGCACCCTCCTCTCTGCCTATGTGCTAATCCACACGATAAACAGAAATCCGTTGGCAATTATAAAATTCAAACCGTTTGGTCAAATCGCAATTGCGACGCTTTCAGTGGGCGAACTTATAATGAGGGGATTATACGATTAATAATCATATACAATGCAGCAAAAATAAAAACAAAACAACCAAAAAGTTCTATATGTATATACAACAAGCTTTTTGGTTCTGTCTATATACATATAAATGAGTTGCATTATATCTAATCAACAAAAGGAACACATACATACTAGGTGAGCCGATGGTCTTTATAGCTACTCCAAGAACCTTCAGAAGTCTTTCCTATCAATTACTTTGCCTCGAATTATTACTCTTATTCTTCTCTTACTCTTTGCGAAGTTGACGCACGGTAGAAATATAATAATTGTATACGTAAATAATACATATACATAATTAAAATATATATTTAACGTTTCAGTTTATGTAGCTTTCAATTTTGACGATTTTAAAGAGGTTAAAGAAGCGAAGGCTTGATCAACATACACCACAAATTTTTGCCTGAAAACTGATTTCACCCCGATTACTCAATTAATTATTAGCTATTGATTTTTTTTTTGTTGCTTCGCCCACGGTGCACATTATCTGAATGACTTTCGGATTGATCATGGGGGTAGCCCAAGTGAAACGCCCCCATTCGAAGTTTCTAATGGTTTATCGGAACGACGTCGATTTACCATTTCTAATGGGCATTGCCAATACAGCTTAATCATTTTAAGCAGTTGATCAAACATAAAATCTTGATGACAAGCGATTTAATAAATATAAATAAACATATATGTATTTACAGCAGATATCTTAAAAATAAAAATAATATTTTATTATTCGTAAGAATTAAAGTAGTTTAAATATTGACGTACATTTTCCTTAAGCTATTTATTACATTTTGATTTTAACTCAATAGATATATGCATTTATTTAATTTAATCTTAACCAAAGATCAATGTATCACTTACACCATGCCACTTTCACTACAATAGCTCTGTCTTAGAGCGCCACATTAAACAAACAAATGCAGCTTATTTCAACAAATATAGCTTTCTATATATATGCACATATATATTTATAGATATATACACTTATATCAGTTCGAATACGACGTAAAGAATATGAAAACCGCTTGCAACGGCGCTATAAATATAACTAAACAGAAAACATAAACGAAAACAGAACGCGCAACAATGGCAGAGGGTGAAAACAGAAAGGTGGTTGAAAGTACGCACACTTAATTTTTGCGCCAATATTGAAATTTTCAAATGACAATCCCATATACTTTTGCGTAAGTTGGCAGAGCCATCCCTAGCATATGTGATGAAGGGCGATTGATTACCAAACCAAATTTAAAAAAAAACTGAATTTAATACAGATTCATCGATAGGCCGTACATTTTAACATTCCCTTTATCGATAGATTGTCCGTCGACAATTTAGTGTTTTGTTGATAAACTAAAAACAACGTGATGAAGATCTCACGTTTTAAAAAATCGCACAAAACGCTTGCATTTTTTACAACGCACTTTGATTACCGTGAACCATATCAAGTGCTTATTGATGCTACCTTCTGTCAAGCTGCTTTACAGGTAAGCTGCGTAGGTGCGCCTATACAGAAATTCAATAATTGATATATAGTACATTCTTCTCAACTCTTAGCACAAAATCGGAATAGATGAACAAATTAAAAAATATTTTCAATGTAATGTCAAACTTTTAACTACGCAATGTGTCATACTTGAAGCCGAGGCGCTAGGTGCTCCATTGTTAGGCGCCTTATCGATTGTCAAGCAGTTCTATGTGCACAAATGCGGGCACGAAGGCAAACCTGTTGCAGCTGCGCAGTGTCTCAAATCGATGGTAGGATAGAGTAGTTCCTGGTCGAGTCAACCGCTTTTCACACTTTAAATTACAGACAAAGGACAATCGCTACATAGTCGCAACTCAGGATCGTTTGCTACAAGCGAGTCTTCGCAAGGTGCCTGGACGTTGCCTTCTCTACCTCCACAAAGCGACGCCTGTGCTGGAAGCGCCCTCAGATGCCTCCAAAAAATGGGTGCAAAAGAAAGCCAAGAATTTGATGTTGGGACAACACGAACAGAAGATCGAATACATGAAAGAGAAACAGGGATTAAAGCCAGCTGAACCTGTAAAGCCGAAAAAAGTCAAGGGACCAAAGAACCCAAATCCGCTCTCATGTAAAAAGAGCAAAAAAGCGAATAAGCCCAGCCTCCAGCAAGTAGAGCAGACAACACAGCTGAAGGCCAAAAGAAAACGCATCAAGATTCCAGAACACGTGAAAGCAGCACTTGGTTCAAAATAAACTTCTTTATCTTATTTACATTTGCTTCACTGTACTATAAGAAATGGTTTCTTATCAAAATACGATCTGAATAATCTCATAGTTTGCCGTCTCGAATTTTCATCAAGGTCTTCTCGGTCATGAATTGGGCCAAAATCTTGGTAAGCGTGACACTGCGACCGCAATAGGCCATCGCATTTACCGGGAACAGACCACACCAAGATAGATCCATTTTGTTGGCGATGGCCACCGCAAAGAGCTCTCCACAGCGCTCCGCTGTTAGGCGCTTCTGATTGGCAGTGCTATCGCCCACCTTGCCACCCTTGGTAGCCGTGAATGCCTCCATCAGGAAGTCTGTGGCGATGGGACCAGGGGCAAATATGGTTACATCCAACTTGCGCTGTTCCAACTTCAGTGTAGTCAAATAGGCATTGAGGGCATGTTTGGCGGCGCAATAGGTTGCGGAGAAGGGCACCGGGCTGAAGCCAGCTATGCTCGAAGTGGCTACAATGTGACCTCGTCCGCCGTTCTGTTCCAGAAAGTAGCGCACAACCAAGCGGGATAGATGCACCACAGAAAACACGTCTAGCTCGAAGAGTTCACGATCCACTTGGATATCAATATCTACCCAGTTGGCACGCTGAGAGCGACCCGCATTGTTCACCAGAACATCGAGTCGCTCAAAATGATTGAGCACGCTATAGAGATGCGCTTGATGCTTTTCTAATTGCAAAATATCCATTTGAAGAATCAGCACATCCTTCTGAGCCAATAGGCCTCGCGCCGCGGCCAAGCATTCGGCTTGCACCTGCTCCAGCTGTTCCAGACGGCGCGCACTGAGCACTAGGCGTACGCCATGGCGTGCCAAACTAATCGCCAAGGCGCGGCCGATGCCGCTTGAGGCACCTGTTATCCAAACCACCTGTCCGCGCATTGTCGATATCGAGTTTCCGAAACGAGATTTGTACCATAGCGCCACATTGCAGTCCAGTATTATCCAGAGCAAACCGTATACGACATAGTAGAGAATTATCAAAATGAATAAAAATTCGATGAAAGACATATTATGGCACTTTGAACTTTAACGTAACAGATGCAACGTCACATCTGTCTGCACTTTAAACGTAAACTTTCGTTTTGTAGTCTGATAATACATCAGCTGATTTCTTGCATACCATCGATATTTAATAGGGAAGGGGAGCGACAAAGAACGTGATGCTTGATGATGAGCTAAATATCGGTAGTTATATTTTATGTTATTTAGAGCAAGTATAGAAATCTTTAAAGTTTTAAATGATAAAATATGTGATCAAATTAATTAAACCAGAGTACGTATAAAATTATTGTAAGCGAATGGTATTCTTGCCTGAATTTCTATAATAAAATAAAAGTAGGCGTAAATTGCTAAGTTAGACAATTCTTAATTATTAAAAATTTATCTTAGTTTTTATTTATTTATATATAAAATTTTTCGCAGTTTTCAGAGCCAAGATTACGTTAACAGTATTTTTGTAATTTTGCACTAATTATTCAGGTTTGCATCACACTATTCAAATCCCCACAGATCTTGTCGATCTCCGCATAGCCCGCCTGCTCTAGGCTCATGATCGCATTCGCTAGACCCACAGTTTCTCGCATTGAGTGCGCCTTCACCCAGATTCGCCCATTGACGCCCACTGCGATCTCAAAGGGCATCTCGTCTGTGAGTGCTGCGAGAGCCGGGCAGCTCTCCCGAAGCAACAGTCGGGCCAGGTTTAGGCTGCACTTGAAAAAGAACCCGTCTTGTAAAACACCTAGCTTGCCGCGTTTTCCATTCGAATTCACGCACACTAGCTCCGGCTCAATGTCTGCATTGGCGTTGAGAACGCGGGCGTAGAGCAGATCACCAGGATTCAGATCTGGTCGATTCTTTTTCGTGGCTGCCTCAAATGCTAGGTAGGAAATTGCAGCCGTGTCCGCTGAGCCAATATCCACGCGGTATAAATCGCCCACTCTGGCCTTCACTATTCCAATAATAAGATCTCCTCTCGCTGGCACATAACGCCGCTGATAGTTGTCCACCCAAAATGTGTTTGGATCTTTGTGCCGAAGTGGGCCCGCCTTGCTGGCTACAACTTTGTCGTCCAATCTTCTGAGTCCTGGGCCTAGAATGACTCTCTTGTTTTTCGCTGCGTCTTCCACAACCCGAACACGCTCGCCGGGCATAATAACGCTTGTGTTTGCAGACATAATATGTATAGTAGTTATACTAATAAAGAGCCAAAACAATGCCGGCCGCGTGCTCTACAAATTGTTGATTTAATATCGATAAGGCAATATCGATGTTGCTGCTGCAACACAAACAGTGCTGGAAAGTGCCAGCACATCACCGATGGATAACGTATTAATTTATTTATAAAACTATTATGGTGGTTTGTTATAAACAATTTAAAATGTTTTTTTCTATCACAAAGGTTGAACCAAATTTTAAGTGAATGGAAGCCACATGTGGATGCCATCACGGCTAACCTTCGCACAAGGTCAATCATATATCCCTCACCAAGCTACCGGCCGCCAGCTTACCGACGAAAAATTCCACTCGCAGCACTTTGCCTGGAGTACGTATACGCAACCATAGCGGCAAGATAGGTTCCACAGTCCACAACAACAATGGCCAACACTTTAGTATCGCGAGCTGTGCGCGTATTCCCCTTGCTGCAATCATCGATACCAGCGCCAAACCACATAAGCCGAAATAGAAACTTCGTCGCCTCATCGCGCTGTTCGACACACGATTTCAGTAGCAAATCAGCCAGCCAAGCCCGAAGCTCACTAGAGTCGCTCTCGTCTGGATTTAAATTTATAAAATTTAAAAGTTCTTGGTATGTATTCAAGTGAGATTATAACTGTGTTATATTAGTAGTAGTTGTCTTCTCTAACTTTAGTATCAATTGTTTTCAATCGCGAAATTAGCTTTCTATGAAAGCTGCAGTTACCTAATGCATTTTTATTATGTATTTTTAAGCAATCTCGGGATGTGAATACTTATATATACATCTGTAAATGCTATTTAACTAATACTTTTCGTTTACGTTTAAAAGAAATTGCCATAATTTGTTAAATGTTTCGTATTCTCTTATCGTAATTTGCGAAAATTTGCTTACTTTTCGGCGTTCCTCTGAGTCTATTACTTTTGCTGTGACCTTAAAGCGCTCTGTAGAGGTCATTCGTACAAGCGGTGAGCGCTATTGCCATCGCGCTCTCACGTATCGTTTGTGAAAAAAGTATTTCCTTGCGGGTGGGAAATCGCTGATTGTTCTTAATTCGATCAAATACCGGCAGATAAAAGAGAAAGTATTAAATAATTACACAAATGCGCACAGAATAAACTTACTTCTATTAAAATTTACTTATTGGATTAACGGAAGTCCAAATCAAATTTGCTTGCCTGCAATAAAAATCAATTTCAATCTTGTAAAAGTAAAATTCATGTGGGAAATTAAGCCCTTAAGTAAATAATTATTAACAAATATTATTCTAATGTTTTTTGCAGTTCTAAAGAAAGCAACATGCCCATCAAGTCGATAAAAGCACGTCAAATCTACGATTCTCGTGGTAACCCCACCGTCGAGGTCGATTTGACCACTGAATTGGGCCTGTTCCGGGCAGCCGTTCCCTCTGGCGCCTCGACTGGCGTGCATGAGGCTCTGGAGCTGCGCGATAACGACAAGGCCAACTACCATGGCAAGTCTGTGCTGCAGGCTGTCGGCCATGTGAACAACACTCTTGGCCCTGAGCTGATCAAGGCTAATCTGGATGTGACCGATCAGGCTGCCATTGATAATTTCATGATCAAGCTCGATGGAACCGAGAACAAGAACAAGTTTGGTGCCAACGCCATTTTGGGTGTCTCTCTGGCCGTGGCCAAGGCTGGTGCTGCCCAGAAGAACGTGCCACTGTACAGGCATCTTGCTGATTTGGCTGGCAACAAGGAAATTATCTTGCCTGTGCCTGCCTTCAACGTCATCAATGGCGGTAGCCATGCTGGCAACAAGCTGGCCATGCAGGAGTTCATGATCCTGCCAACTGGCGCCACCAGCTTCACTGAGGCCATGAAAATGGGCTCTGAGGTGTACCATCACTTGAAGAATGTTATCAAGGCCAAGTTCGGCTTGGATGCTACCGCAGTGGGTGATGAGGGTGGTTTCGCACCCAATATTCAGTCCAACAAGGAGGCTCTCTGCCTCATCAACGACGCCATCGCCAAGGCTGGCTACACTGGCAAGGTGAGCAATGGAATTATTTTTAATATTTCGCACATTTATTTAATATTTTTCGATGCTTTTGTATTTTATAGATCGAGATCGGCATGGATGTTGCCGCCTCTGAATTCTTCAGGGATGGACTCTACGACTTGGACTTCAAGAATCCCCAGAGTGATAAGGCACAGTGGCTGTCGCCCGAAAAATTAGCTAACTTGTATCAGGAGTTCATCAAGGACTTCCCCATTGTGTCCATTGAGGATCCCTTCGATCAGGATCATTGGGATGCCTGGACCAATCTGACTGCCAACACCAAAATTCAGATTGTCGGTGATGATTTGACCGTGACAAATCCCAAGCGCATTGCCACTGCTGTCGAGAAGAAAGCCTGCAACTGTCTGCTGCTTAAGGTCAACCAGATCGGTACAGTGACGGAATCCATTCAAGCTCATTTGCTGGCCAAGAAGAATGGCTGGGGCACCATGGTGTCTCACCGTTCCGGTGAAACCGAGGACTCTTTCATCGGTGACCTGGTCGTTGGTCTTTCCACCGGTCAGATCAAAACTGGCGCTCCATGCCGCTCGGAGCGTCTAGCCAAGTACAACCAAATACTGCGTATTGAGGAGGAGATTGGCCAGGGCGTTAAGTTCGCTGGCAAGAACTTCAGGAACCCACAGTAAATCTCGCTTCTTATAAATTCCAATTAAACACCAAGCACCCACTCGAATTAACAAATACCAAAGCAGAAAGCGCACGCAAAACTCAGCCGCAAGCGCCCAAGTGAAAGGTGTCCATTTGGTGTAGATTTGTGTCTGGCGCACAATACAAATCAATTTAATATGCCCCAAATTTTCATCGTTATTTAAACAAAATTATATTTACTGTTATCAGTACTATGATACACACATTATTTATATAAACGTATGTTTTGGTCACGCGAAGTTATTAAACCAGATGTACGACGCTTTTAGTAACATTATCAGTGTGAAAATTAAATAAAGATTGACCTCTCCAGTCCAATACAATAATAATTGTAACTGGTTCACAATGTTAGGCATCAATTGTTCAACTTTATATAAATCATCAGTTCTAGAAGCAGACATATAATACATTTTATTCAAGTGTTAGTAGATGTGAAATAAATATTGTTGAAAATATATGTTTCTCAAGTCTTTCGCTGAAATCACTTTTTGGTTTTCGCAAATTAACATTACAAAATTAATATTTATTTCAAATTATTTTATGTTTTAACTTAAGAATTTGCAATTATACAAAAACACAAATTTTATTTATTTGACTTCCCGTTCTCATTGGAAAGATATATTTTACTCGTATTATAGAAATGGAAATTTCAAGGCCGTTGTCAAGAGCGTGTCCAAATATTAAAATATTCGACCTTTATAGAAGGTTATCAAACAAATTTTGGTAACCAGCTGAATATTTGTTTGAAATCAAGCATACAGATTATTTTGAAATGGCTGGCGTTTAATTGAAATAAGTGAGCAACATATATCCACTGAATAAAAAGTAAGTATGCAATGTAAGGAAAATATGTGAAATGTTTGATGAAATCATTGCATGAGTTTCGAAGTCATTTCATAATTCATGAAATGTGCCCATGATATGCGAAATAATTCAATGGATTTGTCATCCAAGAGAAACAATAAAACAGCAAGATAAACATAATATAATATGTATTTTTTAGAGAGTTTTCATGGGATATTAATTCGACAATTTGAATTATAGATTATTTCAAATAAAGTAGATAAAACATTTAATCGCAGAACATTTTAAATTGTTAAAAACAACTTGGCATAATCGTTGTCAATTTATTGTTTTGTAACGTTTAGCTAACTAGAGTTAAAATACTTTTCAACATTTAACAAAACTAAAAGATTTTTCCGATGTACTTATTCTACATATGATGTTAAAAAACGTGACATAAAAAGTGTCTGATTAGTAAACCAGGTGATATGCGTATTAGAAACTACATCTAAGCCTAATTTGTAATAGCTAGGGCACCGAATTGGTTGCAATGGCGATAGGCCAAGTGGTTGGTCCCTTTAATAGAATATCCTCGAGAGCAAGTTTGATTTTGATGAAACGCCGCTTGAACTCGAGGCCACAGCCCTTCGAGAGTCGAAAATCGACGAGTATTTTGCCATCCATCTCAATGATGTGAGCCTTGAACACTAGACGAAGCTTACGTCTATCAATAGTTGAGATTGTGACGACACCATCGTCACCGACCTTGCACGTGTAGCTACCCAGGCGCTCGATCGTGCTCACCAGCCGCTTGATGGTGTCGTCCCAGCGCGTCGTCACGAAAAACCGCGTCATGCGGCGCACCAAGCGCTGGAAGTAGTTCTGTGATGCGCTCTGTTGCGTCTGATTCATTTGCGTTGCCAGCAGCAGATCGTCCAGCATGGCGGGCTGCGAGAAGCAATACGTTAGCCGTGCCTCTTGAGCCAGCGCCTGTCTGTCGTCGTCAGCTCCTTGGCCATTGCCATTGGAATTGCGCGATCGCGGCACGAACTCATCATCGCAGCGCAATGTGGGCATCGGCTGAGAGCAATAGTTGCGCGATATGGAATCATCCAAATTATTGCTTAAATGAGCGCTCGACTGCAGCCGCTGTCGTTTCGCCTTGGGCGAGCAAATTTCCAAAGCGGCGGCGGAGTCGACTATATCATAGGAACGATCTGCAAATGAGACGCATGAACACCATTAGAAGTCATCGAAAAGAAGCACACGGAAAGAATGCATGAACAAAAGCAAAACCGCAATTAACTGAATAAACGTAAAGAAAGCAATGCAAAAACCATTTGGTTTTTGGTAATAAAGCTCTATGGAATACGCGCACACCATACAGCTAAAATCACCAAAGAGCAAATAATATGCAAAATAAAAAGCCAAACCAAATAACATAAATAAATATATATGTACATGTATATTCGATTGTCTCACAAATTCGCTGGGATCTGGCCACAACGCCAATGCTTTGGTAATCTAGCTTTATGAAGTATTTAAATCTATCATACAGCTAAAGCGCCAAAGCAACGGCAATGGGGCGGCTATCTAAAAACACTTTTACATTACAATACACTTGCACTTCGATGTTGTAGTCCGAGGAGTTCGACTCTTGACTTTGAATTCACAATTGTGTGGCTGTGTGCAGCACGGGCGGCACAGGCACAGAGCGACCCTCAAAGTATGCAAAGCAATATGTGATTGAGAGTCACTAAGTACCTGAGCTACAGCGTGTGCAGGACATCTTGAATTGGGCACTCTCTAGCTATATTGATGGAGCCTGAGTTCTTACCATGCTCGGCGAACTGCATGTTGCACCACTTGTGATCGAGGATCTTTTCCAGCGTCAGACGCCCACCTGGGCTGGTGGCCAACACTTTGCGCAGCAACGATATGGCCAATGTGTCCAACTTGCTCCATGGTGTTTGCGTTTGCCAGCGATCGTTGTCCTTCCAGGTGATGAATTCCGGGCAGCTGGCCGAAGGTTGATCCCAGGGCAGTTCTGTGAAATGTCAATGTGTAAATAGAGTCAAGTTAATTGCAAGAGCTAGCAAAGTGTGGTGAGTTTTTGTGTTTGTTCCGTGCAAATTAGAAAAGTTCATGAACATTTAGATTAATTCGTGCACTAAACAGTTTAACGAACTGCTTTCTTTTTTTGTTTTTTGTTTTGCTGATGTTGGCGGGTGGTGCGAGCGGTTGGGCGGTGTCAAGCAATTTAAGCTGGAGCTTTGGTATAAAAGCTTTAGATGATACAATATGTGAAAACAATCTACAGCTAGAATACCAAAGAAACAGCAAAAATGAAAGAGTGGCAATTGTGTGGGTGAGACAAAAAACATATAGAACAGTGAGTTATATATTTATTGTATATATGTATAAAAATTAACACAAAAATCACATAGACAAATCGTAATGACCGTGTATAACAGTGCCGTTATTATTAATTAGAAACGAGCAATGTGAGCGACAGAAGAGGAAACGATATGCAAATGTTTTCACTTATTATTGAAAATGTGTTTTTTTTTTTAGTTATGTCGTAAACAGGCAAAAATTGTTGGTGCATTGTGGTGTGCATTGTACTCACCACCCGCTAGCATTGTCACCAATATGACACCACATGACCAAATGTCCGCCGGTTGTGCGTGATACGGCTTCAATAGCACCTCTGGCGCCACGTACGGAAGGGTGCCACAGCGCTTATCTAGTAAACGCTCTCGTCCCTTGCATCTGAAATAAGAAAAGTAAAAATATTAGTAAATATAAATAAATTATATATGCATATAGAATAGTAAATTAAGATGTGCCCATATCATTTAATATATTTAATATTGTATAATATATATACTTTGCATTGTTGCTAAGATACGTATTCTAATATATTATACCTAAACATAGTGGCCATTCCAAAGTCGGAGATTTTAACATTATCATGCTCGTCCAGTAGCAGATTCTCAGGCTTCAGATCTCGATGGGCGATGCCACGCTGATGCAAATAGTTCAGACCGGAGAGCAATTGGGTGAAGTAACGCTGTGCTTCATGCTGCGGCATGCCAACGTCAGGTTCTGCAAATACAATTCAACTGTAAGAGTTTAAGGATTACAAATATTTAATTTGCGAGTAATATCTATTTACAGAAAATCTGATGGACTTAAGGAGTACATTTGTTAACATAATTATTAGATAATAATGATAAATTATTATGCGTTTCATCAAATTGTAATATGTAAATTCATTCAATTCACGTTTTCATGATATAAAACTTCGAACTATTTACCGATCCGATCGAATAGCTCTCCACCGGCAGCATATTCCAAAAAGATATACTCCACATGTCCCTGGGAGCGTTTGCCAAAGAAGCGTAAGATATGTGTGTCCTGTAGCATCTTCTGTATGCAAACCTCCTTGCGCACTGAGATCACGGCATCGGGATGCTTCTTCAGGTCGACCATTTTCATGGCAACAGCCTCTCCCGTCTGGCGATTGATAAGCAATTTGACTCTGCGCCAGGAAAGATAAAAATAAAAGTGTTGCTCTGTCAGTTTTATGTGAGCATCGTTTGCTGTCGGAAAAATTAGTCAATGCAATCGACAATGGGAATTTCCCCGCCTCCCCCCGTACCACTATCCCCATTCAGTCTGTCTTTGTCTTTGGCTGGATGCAGTGCAGTGCTCCTGTTGCCATTTTACCGAAGCTTCGTTGTTGGAGCATGCGCACAACACAAAAATGAGCTTCGGAACTCAAAAGCGGAGCAACAGCAGCAGCAGCAGCAAATACGCCGGAAAAGCGAGATTTCTCTATTTTCGTCTCACATCATTTCCGGTATATTGACTTCAGCACGCACGAGCCAATCTGCAGTATGCAGTCTGGGCCTTTGATTGCATTGAATTGCATTGCTGTCCACTTACTCGCCATAGGCGCCTTCGCCTAGCGTCTGCGCTAGAGTCCAGCCCTCTACGAATTCACGGGTCGCTGACGTTGCGGCTGCCATGTCCTGTGATTGCTCAATAATTGTGCCTTAATATCCTGTCATTTACTAACTGCTGTCGCCATGTGCCATTATCTCCTAGCTCTTTGTCAAGTGAGCCATAAGCCGAGCTGCAAACAGATAATCAAATAGAAATAATTAATATGGTTGGCAAGTTTAAGTTTCACTGTCATTTACACGAATCAGTATCAGTACATTCACCTACCCTCAGACATATATACATATGTATATACAAATATATACATTTGGGGATGCTGCAGTGCAGCTTTGTGGTGTACAAACTATAGGGAAAAACGTCAAGTTTTTATACTGTTTTAATATTTCATCTTTTGGTATGGTCATGGTTCGCTCATGCGCTGTACCACTGCTCCCTTAAAGCTCTATCTCTAGTATATATACAACACAAGCCAAACATATAACATAGTTCTATTTGGATTGAGATCATTATTTTCATTAGTTGCTGATTAACTTTCCAATTATACGTATCTGAACGTTAAGCCTTCTATCTACAACTCCGTCCAGCCGGCAAAGCTTCTCACGCGCTCTAGTTGGGATGCTGCATTTGCCAGGCTACTCCTTTCGTCCTTTCGCTCGGCTACAGCTAGGGACAATTGAGGCATCGTCTGCCTCTTTTGTTCTCTTAGACTAATGGCGGGTTTCGAAGCGGCATTTTCACGTCTTTTTTGCCTTCTGCTTGAAAGCTCTCGATGTTCTCTGCTGATTCGTTCAACAGGCCACTAAACTTTTGTTTATAATATTGTTGTGTGTACTCCATTGAGCAGTTGACAGTGCCCGAATGTTGCTCTTCTCTCTCAACAGTTTGACGAGCACACATTTACCCGCACAGCTTTGATTAGGATAGTGAAGACAGCCTCGGGGAATTCTAGACATCACAATTTATGCAATTTGAGCATTATAAATGCAAATTAGAATGTCGTGAGTGCTTCTATTTCTGTCAAGCTCATCTATGTCAGGAATAATATTGAATTTCAGTCACATGCGCAATCTAAACATTGAGAATTTGTAATTTATATTATTCTATAATATAGATTAGTATTAAATAAAGTATACTTCGTAAAGTATATAAGTATGGCATAATCAGCGTTTTTTTTTTATTAAAAACTTTTCAACTATACAGGGAATGCTATTCAAATATTTATCAGAAGTAAAATAATAAATTTGACACATGAATGGAATTTTGTATTCAATTTCTGGTATATATAAAGGCGAACTTTAAATGCTTTTTATGTTAATGTGATCGTATGTCGATAAGAAAATATATGTATGCTCTAGCTGTATGTAGGTTCGATTTCATGCCCGAAACTGATGCTAAGCATATGCACATAAATCATTCATCAAATGTTTAATCGCCATAGTGAAATATTTGTTGAATATAAAGCAGGAAAGAACTTTGCGTGTTTTTGTTTTACATAAAATATACCATTATTATCGTAAATAATTTTTATCATACTGCTGCAAACTCGATTTCTTATTCTTTCATAAAAAATAATTGTATATTTGTTATTTCCCAAAGCATTAAAATAACATTATTGATTATATGATTTAAATATTATGTCCTTAAAAAAGTTTTATGTTTATACTACAATTAAGTTACGAAATAATTTCTACTAGATATTGTACACAGCACTAATAATCATCGAGTCAAAAACTATAATGGTAGAGCGAGTAGCCTAACGTTTAAATTCCTTATCTACCAAACCGTGTCGATATATTTTTTAAAAACAAATAACTTGGTATTCAAGCTCATCAAAATGGATAAACTTAGGAATTATTTAACTAATTTAGATGCTCTGACTTCACAGCAAATTGAATAAGTTAACGAACTTACATTTTGAATATATGTATATATAAAATATTAATCCAACCTTATAGAAAATATATAAAATGTCGAATAGCCAGAATACCATTCGTATGACGCCGTTCGACTATCGCCCCACGACTTCATTCAATTAATGCAAAATATTCCATTAAAGAAAATGCTTGATATGAGCTTGTTGCCTATACGATCGCTGCGGCAGCATATCCCTCGTCTAGCTGGAAACTAGTCCCCTAGCAACAGCAACTGCTGCAGCGACAAAGAAAAAAGCTTGTGCTGTGGGACTTGCGAGTTGCCACTAGGAATTGCGGCTGGGAGAGTTGCCCCGCCAGCATGTCGAAGAAGAAGCAGAAGTTAAGCAAATACGAGTTTCGTCAAGTATTTTTATTTGAGCACCGGTTTAGTTTTTTTTTCGTTTTGCGCCCTGTGCATGAAGCAGTTCCTGCCACAATAGAGGTCTCCAGCCGCCTCTTGCCCCGGAACAACAAATGTAAAAAAAGAGGTAAAAATATATTGTATGGTTAGGATAAAATATATACTACTGCTGTTGGCGGTAGTGGATAAGGAATAGGAGACAGGTATCACCACTGTGGCTGGGACGGGACAGAGATGGAAATGGACATACTCGTATCATTTGGTACGGACAGACAAGCTCGGCAAGAAAATACCAGCCCAGCCAGTTTTTATTATAACCTCTTTCTTTTTGGTGTATTTTATAGCGGGAGCTGGAAGCAGCCACGTGTACGTGAGCAGAGAAAACTTGCAAGCTAAATAAAATTGAGTGTTTAATTGATAGTGCAAGTGGGAAGAGATTTACCGTAATACGAGGTTTCGAGCTGGCTGCGATTGGAGCTATCCTTCGTCTTGGAGACACGCGCGTGAATGGCATTTGTTTTTGTAAAGTTTTCGCCCGCTTTTTTATGCTCCGCATTTTTCTTCTTTTCTTTCTTTCTTTGCTTAAGCCCACCACCGTTTCCAGCTGAAGTAAATCGCCGCGATTGATGACAGCTTTTTTTCCGAGAGCGCTCACTGACAGACACTACACGTAGTACACACACTAACACACAGACGGATACACGCACATATATACGTATATTTGAATCCGGTTAAAGTGTAGGAAGCGTTTTGTCTGTATCTACACACCTCAAAGGTGCCAATGTCCCGGCTTTTTATAAATCTCTTTTCCGAAGGCTATAAGCAATGTAAGCCTGTGCGCTAGATAGTTTTTCTTTTCTTTACTTTACTTCATTTATTACTTTTATTTAATTTTGACAAATTAGAGTATTCATCCGGCCTCCTGTCGCATATGTACATCGGCTCGTCCTGGGCAAGCGTTCAAATGAAACTGTGAGCAGCAAATGCGACCGATACATGAACATTTTATAATCTACATGACATGGACCAGGCTGCCAACTCGAAACTTCCAAAGCCAAAGGAGAGAGAGAGAGAGAGAGAGAGAGATAGAGATAGAGAGCGAGATTCGCAAAGTGGGAGAATGAGCGAACGAGCAATAGTCACAGAGAGCGAAGAAGAGATTAAATATTGAGAGCGAAAGCTTACGCATGCGCGCGCGAAAACGCTGTCAATTTCGGTGGTTGATGCACTCTCTCTCTCTTTCTCTCTCTCTCAGCAGTGTGCGCTCTAAACAGCTTCCAAGTGAAACTTGCAGCTCTTAAGTTTTATAGAAGCAGCTGGGACTAAGATGTAGCCGGTGAGCGTAGAGCAATTCCTACGCAGGCGATAGCCGGTGAGCGCAGGGCTGTTGCTTCTTTTACTTCTTCTGCGCCTTTTGGCGACTCACACATTGATACATGCATATAACGTGTACATACGTTTTCCTATACATGTACATATGTTTGAATACGTATGTGTGCATGTACGTGAAGATTTTATTATTGTGCAGCGTAGTAGTATTCACTTACAGACTAACCTCGGCGTCGTTGTACGGTGTGTCCGTCAATGTGAACACAAAAGCTACCCCATTCCCCACTTTTGTATTCCTAGTTTGAGAGCCCGAGTCGTACCTTTATGTACATACATACATAAAATGAAAGGTGATTCCTTGACTGTACATTAACGAGTGGGACGAAATGGCTATAATTAAGAGCACTGATATACCAATTTTTTATGTCCTGCTAACAACATACACGTACAATTGAATATTCTAAAAATACAAATAAAAAGGTCAGCTAATTTTATTAAAGGTTAAGTTAAATGCCCTTTCGAATATACTTTATTCTGGCGGCTCTCTACAAGACGTGAAAAGGGATTTATTGTGCATATTCGCCAACTCGAAGATTGTATACCCTTAAAGTAAATAATACAAACTGTCTTCTCTATATTATCTATTGTGTACATGAATATTTATGTACTTAAAATATAACTTTACTAACAATATGCTGAGCCCATTTCATATACCAAGTCAATAGGCACTCAAATAGATTTTTTTCGATTCACATCTGTGTTTATTAACAGTAAGGGTGTCTGTGAGTCGCGTGCTTTTTTTTCCTGGAATTGCAGCATTTTAAAGATTTCAAGACTTCTCGACAAGAGTCGATACTCGTTTACGTAAATATATACATGTATATATACGCAAATATATGTATATAGAGGTATGTATGTGTATATATTATAGAATATATATATTCTCATATGTCCGCAACTTGTTTATCCCCGAAGGCTGTCTTTTACACATAAGAATAAATATATGCATGACTGTGTAAATTGTATGTACAGGAATATCTACAGCATAAAGTCGTGTCCCTCATATATAAGACAGCAGCATGCCATATCAAACACCAAAAGGAACTATCATTGCGGTAATTATGTTTGCCGACTAAAATATATACTATTCTTACGTTATTCAGTCACAATAGCCAATACCTTCTCTACGTAAGTATGCACAAATACAGCATACATGATTTTTCCAATATTATAGTACTATTTGTATAATAGCCATTACGTATATAATACTATATACATATATGTATAAGTACTACAGTTATAATAATATAACAAGTATTTTTATTTTTGACATGCTAATGAACATTTAACTTTAATTTAAACTACATTTTGAGGCACATTCGTAACGTTAACTAATTCCATAGCAGAGATAACATTTTCTTAGGATAAAATATTTTGCTAATTTAATTTTGGTTAATTGTAGCCTAGGTATATTCAGGTATATCTGATTCTAAGGATTCAGAAATGTGTTTTATGATTTTACAAAATAGTTTTGTTGGCACGTATTAATGATAGAAACTTTTTCTTTTGATTTCGTTTTGAACATATTAATATTACATTAAATGTGAAAATAGGATAACAGGATATAAGATTTACTGTTTTTATAATAACACACATTTCTTCCAAATGAACTGTATAAAAAAGATGTTTGCTTTCTCTCCATGCTATGTTACTCCATTTGATATAGACTATCCGATTACTTTTTCGGGATTTTCATATGAGTATTTGCTTTATTAATTTTGCATGATTCCGTTTCTTGTATGTCTACGAGCAATTGATATGGTATTTCGACATATGACTTGTCATCTTGATTGCTCTCTGCATCATCCAAATGTGAATCAGGAGTACTATAGACGCTGTCATTACTTCTCGAATCCTTTTTCTTTTGGTTCTTAGAACTATTTGTTTGTCGCTTTTTACCTGGCTCAAAGAACTTGGGATCCAAGATCAATGGCATTCTATGTCGACCATTGCGCATAACATGAATGTTGCCGTCTGGCACAGATTCAGTTCGTGCCGGAGATAATGAGCCATCAGTCATCGACATCATGCCGAAATGTCGCATCATAGCAATCGCCTCTTTCTCCACGGTGCTCTTATCATCCCAATCTGACATTGTCGCGTGCTCACCTAACGGCTTAGTGCCAGCTATAGCCTGAATACGCTCCATCATGGCTAGACTGGCGCTAATTTCCTTTGACTTGACACTTCGATGTTTTTCAATCTCCGCATTTCGTTCTTCCCGTTTAGCTAAATAATCGTAAGTAGACTTTGGACGGGGAATAAAGTCTTGCTTTCGCTTGGCTTCATACGCCAGCTGTCCATGTATTAGATTGAAATCAGGCTGTAAATCGACCAAATCGTCCTCGAAGTTCGTTGATGGAGCCCAGGCCATATTTTATATGCTAAATGTATATATTTATCGAATTGTTAGTAGGGGCCAAGCGCTGTCGGTGCAAATGAATGGTCTACGAATGTCTACCCCGTCAACATAACCTTGTTCTTTTTATTTTGCATACATAGCATACACAGGCATGTATTCATATTTGCATATGCTTGTATGCGTATTGTATGTATGTAAGTATGTATGTATGTATGTGTGTGTGTGTGTATGCGTATGTATGAGTTCAGTTGCATTGCCGGCTAAATTACAACTGGCTGTGGGAAACTCACCAGTAATAAGACAGACGCCGACTTTCGACACAATAATTTCAGTTCAATATAATACGCCTATTTATCGTTACTATTCCTATAATGATTAAAAATACAATTCCTAGCTCCGAATCCCTATACAAGTTTTTTAAAAGTTTCTTTGAATTCCATTCCACAGAATTTAGAGTTGTCAGCCTCTACATAACCACAACGCGTTTTGGTCTTATTTAGTTAGTTTATGAAATAGACCAGATCAAAGAATAAGAACAAAAAACAATACGAAATAGTATATAAATTTATAGAATAACATATATAATTATATATTAGAATTACAATTATTATTATTATTATTTTTATTTGTCAAGATACAAATGCAAATGTTTTACCCCGTAAAAAAAAGTACAACTCAAAAGAGGCACAATGTACATACGTATATTTATCTCGCTCTAACATCATAAATTACTATGCGCAATACAACAAAACGCCGAATAAATTGCGCCAAAACAGTCGAAAAGCGAAAAGAACACAGAAAAAATTAAAGTATATGTCTGCCAAGCTGATCTCTAATACGTGAATCTTTTATACATATATCTATGCTTAGAGCACCAGAAAATATTTAATTATCGTCAATTAAATGTTCGACTCACCGTTTTAAAAATGCGGCTGCACAGCAGTGCGGCGCTTTTATTTGCACACCTTTGTTTATGTTACACAAAATAATCTACACATCAATTCACAGACATTAACATTTAATGACTAAAATTTTTAAATATTAGTATTTAGGCACATTTTAACGTATTGGTTTTGGGTGGATTAATAAAACGCCGCTGTCGCCTTCTTTTGCACATTTGGCAAATTTAGCGATGAGTGTGACAGTACGTGCAAACAGAAAAAGGCAAATGTTGGTGGAATGTGAATGTGGAGGCTAATCGATGATTTAAAAAATACTACAAATACTAAAAGGTATTGTCTATATAATCAATATCGATTTCATTTTTAGTTTGGCGGCAAAAAGTGTCTTATTTAAATATATTGGTTAGGAATGATTTTATTTAGCAACATTTTATTATCTGAGAATGGTGTTAAACATCGTTTCTATTTTGAATATAGTGAACACGCATTTTTCCAAACACGCAAGGTTATGTAAATTCTAACAGTTCATTGTCCTAATAGCCTTGCATATTATATTATATACATAGTCCTAATCGCAGAGCTAAAATATTTTGGCCACACCTTTTTCTCTCCACCTTTGTCGTAGAAGCCTACTTCTTTATATTTTGCAGGTTAGTTTAATGATGACCTCCTTTTTCAGTATTGTCGGTTACTCCCGCCTGTTTGCAATACTACACTCATGCGCAATGCAGCTTAAACAGCCGGTCATGATTTTTATTAATGAAAATCCCAAAAGTTTTCGCCTTCATACTCAGTGCAATCGCCTGGCTTTTCCAGTTGCAATTCGACAACTGGTCAAGACGCATGGAAATTCGGAAAAAGGCGAATAATTCGCAATAATTAACGAGTGAAACCAAAAACATCGAACAAGTATAATTATGATGTGCTAACATTTGACCAAAAACGCAATAAAAATGTATATATTTATATATGTTTAAAAAACTCGTGAATATATTAAACTTTGAGCTTTCGTTTTTAAATTGTTATTGTGCTATGAATGAAAATTATTTGTGACGTACATATAAAATAGCTAAGAATAATAAAAAAAAAACTATTATTGTTTGCTGTTAAAAAGACTAGCAGTCCAACACGCCCTAAACTTCTTTAACTGAAATTTTTGATGTCAATATTTCAAAAAAGCAATAATTGCTTTATAGGTCAACCTACACCCAACTTTCTCACGCCCTTAAGCGCTACCCTATTAAAAACTTCTCTTTTGGCTGCAGAACTTGATTGTGCACATAGCTATACTAACTATGCATATAGCGGAAGTACATATAATTACATATATATAGATATTCTAATTTGATCGCGTGCTCTAAGGTGTAGTCGACTTTATACAGACTGTGAAGTGAAGCAAAGTGCTAAAAAATTTATGTTAGATCTACTAAATAGACAATAATATTGTGAATATTATCAAATTTGAAATTGGAATTTTCCAAAACTCAAATAAACAAACAATTATATTTTATGCGTACAAAGTTAAAAGAAAAACGTTGAATTATATTCTCAATAACATTGCGAAGAAATTCCATAAAGATTGCGTAAATTTAATTATTTATAGAAACAAAACGACGTGATTAAACAATGCAAACGGAAAATCTATCAAAATATTAATTTAAACAAATATATAAATATACATATTTCTTGTTTGGGCTAAGTGATTCAACAACAAAGCAAAGACGTAAAGATTTCAATTGACTTTCTGATTAATTGGCAATTTCTTATAGTTTTTCTCAAAAATTGTATTTTGAATTGCAAATTTGGATAGTTTTTGTTGAGTTGTTTGTGTTGCCGATTGAAAGTTGACGTGAACATTGCACTGGAGGTGCTTCGACAGCAGACGCGCTCGATTGCCGCACTCAAGAGGAAATCTCAACTCAAGGTAAATGCACAAATGGGAAAGACCGAGGGCTCACAATGGCTGATGATAGCCGAGCAACCCCCGGTATATATATACTGCTTTGTTTGTTCTCTGTCTCTGTGAAGTGGCTTGGCCACTTGTGCCAGTTACTAAATTTTATGCAGTTTTCAAACCAAGTCAATGGGAAATTGCAAATTTGTGTGCTGCAAAGATATTAAGAAGAGTGTCTGTCTAATAAACCAATTTTGGTTATAAAGCAATCTACGATAATTAGAAGAATTTAACAGCTATACATTTTTAAAACTACATTTAATTAAAGTTAATTCAGTCGTCTTCAATGCATGGTTACCTAACAGGTAACTAAAACCAGCTTAAGTACAAGATTTGCACTTACAACCCTTGCCATAGTTAAAACTCTTTGAGAAAAGCAGCACAAAATACAAAACAAAAGCACCCACGCAAGGAGCCACTGTCGGGTGGCCTTTAATAGACGGCGCTTCGGTCACAGTGAGTGCAGTGCCCTGAATTAAAACGCGCTCAAGGACAACAGCAACAACAACAGCTGACATCAGGAAAATGCCAACGGCAACAAAGTTGCGACTAAACGCAGCAAAATGTTGTTATTAATTGGAAGCCAGCGTTGCGAATATGTAACTTTGCCAAATAAGAAGGGCATGCTTACTTATATATATAAATATATATTTGTTATTTTATGTTGTATATTACATAAGTGCAAATGTATATTCGTAATAATGTTCACAACTGCAACTCGCCTAGCAAAAACTAATGCAAGTTGCTTTGGTGCCGTTATTAAAAAAGCATTAAAAAAGCTCACTTTAACCAAACCTTGCGAATTCGAATGTAAAGAAAAGAGAGCAAAGTTGACTTCGTGTTCGCTATCTTGCTCTGTCAGAGAGCAAAGGACGTGGGAGTTAAAACCTTAGTGCGATCGCGAATTAACTTGCCGTTTTGTTAGGCGCACTACATACATACATACATACGCAATTACTCTCTCCCCTCTCAAATGTATGCAATATATGTGTATGTATACATATGTATGTATGTATGTATTTGTATATTAATGCGTATGGGCAGTAATTTAATTTCAGTCGTATTTCTTTATTATCCGCTCTTTGCTTAGACAGTCTTCTTACATTGTTACAATCGAGTAATTGAAAGTTTTGCAAATAAGTTTGACAATACACTCACATTGCAAGAGGATATTTTGTTAGATATTAGAACTTGGCTCGGACTTTGACATGTCCTTCTCTGTTGTCTTTGTGTGAGGCTTCTGAGAGCCAAGTACTACGTGCCAAGGACGCGAGGGTGCGTATTCCGCAAGCACAAACATAAGCACAAGTTGATGCCGGCATCAAGGCAACAAGGACACTTGAGGGCCACTCTCGTGCTCTCCACTCGGTTGCTCCTTAAACATCTTGTATGTATGTATGTGCAACAGTGTTAGCATCAGCTTCCGTTGGATTTAAGGGGAACTTACTTTGCAATTCATATTTCAATATTTGTGTATTGTTTCATTAAACTGTCAATGCATATCTATAATTCCCCTTACTGTTTTTGTTTGTTTTGTCATTTCCTAAAATACCACTAACTTATAGGCTATGCTTATGCTTTAACCGTACTAACACATAAATGTATTTTGCTTTTTTTTTTGTAGTTGTCGAAATGGAGCGATGTCAAAGCGGCAGAAGAAGGCGAAGGTAAGTAAAATACTTAAA